GCTTTCGTGGACTACAGCCCACTTCTATGCATCCGAAGAAGTGGGCTGTAGTCCACGAAGCTTATGCTCTAATAAATTTGTTAGTCTCTAAGGTGCCACAAGTACTCCTGTTCTTTTTGCGGATACAGACTAACACGGCTGCTACTCTGAAACCTGGCATCTTATCATGTGACAGGTGTATTAACCTTTTCTAACTGACTCCTTTTAGGTGATGGGGGCCAGGAAATTAAGCCAGGTATGCTACTAGTAGTCATGTGTGTCACACATGTATTACAGAAATGAAAAACAAATTCAGCTAAATTGCCACTATAAATATAACTAGAAACTCAGCACTTATTAAAATGATTTTTATATGGGACTCTTCAGCAATGAGGATTGTGTTTAAAAAAAAATAAAAATCAGAGGGCATAAACCACCCTTGTACCAACCAAAGGCCCTATGTACCACCACAGCCACTCTTAATGTCATGAGAATGGCGATGTGGTCTAGTATAGGACATTACACTGTGTGTTAAGAGTTTAAATTCTGTTCCTGGATTTGCCATTGATGTACTATGTGATCTGGGAAAAGTCACTTCATTTGTGCTTCAGTTTCTCCACTAATAAATTGGGGATAACGCTTACTCACCTGTGTAAAGAGCTCTGATATCTGTGGATGAAAGGATACTTTATAAGAATTCCAATAAGTATGATTTTTGTCTGAGACCCTTCTGCTGCTCTGAATTTCACCCCACAAGAATAAAGTTTGTGTTTGATATTTTCAGGGTGATACCCCCATTCTTTAGTTTAAGTTTGGTCCTGTAAAATTAGTAACAGTTTTGCGCTATGCCAGACTTGGTTTGAATCACTACTATAATTCTCAGCCATTAATGTCTGTGTATTTAGGTATTATTCTGTTTCTAACCTAATGGACTTCTATTTTATTTTCTGTATATGGGCATGAGACTTCCCCCCCCCAAAATACAGCAAGTATCCTCTTTTCCTCAGGTGTTTCATCCTATCAGCTGTTGAATTATGAAGACAAATCAGATGTTTCACTCTATGGTAGACGAGGAAATCAAATAATGAGTGACGTTGGGGTCAATATTGCTGGATCAGATTCTATTGCAGTAAAAGCTTCATTTGGTATAGTGACCAAACATGAGGTTGAAGTACCAACATTACTTAAAGAACTTACTACTAGGTTAGTACTATAATTTTTATATACTTGGCCCAAGTGATTCGATGGTTAGATTATGTGAGATTACATTGAAATCCTGTGTGATTCGGGTTTTTGTGGTTAGGCTTTGAGAACTGTAAATCAACTAATAAGATTTGCTGTATGATCATTTAATAAGAACATAAGAATGGCCATACGGGTCAGACCAATGATCCATCCAGCCCAGTATTCTGTCTTCCGACGGTGGCCAGTGCCAGATGCTTCAGAGGGAATGAACAGAACAGGGTAATTATCGACTGATCCGTCCCCTGTCGTCCAGTCCCAGCTACTGGCAGCCAGAGGTTTAGGGATTCCCAGAACATGGGGTTGTGTCCCTGAATATCTTGGTTAGATGAGCCTGTCCTCCATGAACTTACCTAATTCTTTTTTGAATCCAGTTATACTTTTGGCCTTCACAACATTGAGTTTCACAGGTTGACTGTGTGTTGTGTGAAGAAGTACTTCCTTTTGTTTGTTTTAAACCTGCTGCTTATTAATTTCATTGGGTGACCCCTTGTTCTTGTGTTATGTGAAAGGGTAAATAACATTTCCATTCACTTTTTCCATAATGTTCATGATTTTATAGACCTCTATCATATTCCCCCACTTAGTTGTCTCTTTTCCAAGTGGAACAGTCCCAGTCTTTTTTAATCTCTCCTGATATGAAAACTCTTCCATACCCCTAAGCATTTTTGTTGCTCTTCTCTATACCTTCTCAAATTCTATTTGATGGTGACCAGAACTGCATGTAGTACTGAAGGCATGGGCATACATTGGATTTATATAGTAGCATCATGATATTTTCTGTCTTATCTATTCCTTTCCCAATGGTTCCTATCATTCTGTTAGCTTTTTTAACTGCTGCTGCACATTGGAAGGATGTGTTTAGAAAACTACCCACGATGACTCCAAAATCACTTTCTTGAGTGGTAACAGGTAATTTAGACCCAATCACTTTTATGTATCCATTGCTTTGCACTTATCAACACTGAATTTCATCTGCCATTTTGTTGTTCAGTCACCCAGTTCAGTGAGATCCCTTTGTAATGTTTTGCAGTCAGCGTTGCACTTAACTATCTTGAGTAATTTTGTTATCTGCAAATTTTAATACCTCACTGTTCACCACCTTTTCCAGATCACTTATGAATATATTAAATAGATTTATAAGGCCAGAAGGGACCATTGGTGATCATGTACACTGACTTCCTGCATAATGCAGGCCAGAAGACTTGCATGAATTATATCCTGTTTGAACTAGAGCATATCTTTTTAGAAAAACATCCAATCTTAATTTCAAAGTTTCCAGTGATACAGAATTCACCATATCCCTTGGTAACTGGTTCTAATGGTTAATTACCCCCACTGTTTTTTTAAGTGCTTTATTTTGAGCCTGAATTTATATCTCTTCAGCTTCCAGGCATTGGATCTTGCTATGTCTTTGTCTGTTAGACTGAAGAGCCCTCTTGCAAATTTCTGTTTGTAGGTACTTATAATCTGTGAGCAAGTCATCCCATAAATTTCTCTTTGATAAACTAAATAAATTGAGTTCCTTTGGTCTATACTATAAATCATGTTTTCCAGTCCTCTGATGGTTCTTGTGGCTCTTCTCTTAACCCTCTCTAATTTTTCAACATCCTTCTTGAAGTGTAGACACAGAATGGGACACAGTATTCCAACAGTGGTTGCACAAGTGCCAAATACAGAGGTAATATAAACTCCCTACTCATATTCAAGATTCACCTGTTTATTCTTCCATGGTTCACATTAGCCCTTTTGGCCACAGTGTCACACTGCCGGGAGTTCATGTTCAGCTGATTATCCACCTTGACACCCAAGTCTTTTTCAGAGTCATCGTTTCCCAGAATGAAGTCCCTGGTCCTGTAAGTATGGCCACACATTCTTTATTTGTAGATGTATGACTTTATGTCTGGCTGTATTTAAAGGCCTATTGTTTGCTTGCAACTAGCTTACCATGTGATACAGATCACTTTGTGTCAGTGACCTATCCTATTCAGTGTTTATCATTCCCCCAATCTCTTCTGTCCTCTGCAAACATTTATCAGTAATGATTTTATGTTTTCTTCCAAGTCATTGATAAAAATGTTAAATAGCACAGGACCAGGAACCTCACTAGAAACAAACCTGCTCGATGATGATCCCCTGTTTACAATTACATGTTGAGACTTATCACTTAACCAGTTTTAATCCATTTAATGTGTGTTATTATGACTTTGATTTGTTCTAGTTTTCTAAACAAAATGTCCGTGGTACCAAGCAGAGGTGACGTGGGGGGAGGGCACGTGGAGTTATATGCCCCCCTGCCAGATTATTTCCAGGGTTTGGTGGCCCTGCTTGGTCACATGGTGTGGCTGGGTCCTCTCCCTGCACAGCAGCTGCTGGAGCATGCAAGCTGGGAGCTGCTGCCATGATGGGAGAGGCAGCAGTAAACAGCTGGGAGCTGCAGGGAGGAGCTGCTGAGGGTAAGAGGAGAGGCATGCCTGGGGAGCCATGACTCAAGCTGTTTGGGGGGTGAACCTTTAAATTGTGCCCTCCCCCCTCCCCACTTTCAGCAGGTACTAGTCATCTCTGGTACCAAGTCAATTGCTTTACAGAAGTCAAAGTATATTACATCAATGCTATTACCTTATCAACCAAACTTGTAATCTCAAAAAAGATATCCAGTTAATTTGACAAGATGTGTTTTCCATAAATCCTTGTTAATTGGCACTAATTATATTACTCTCAATTAATCCTTTATTAATCAAGTGCCATATCAGCTGTTCTTTTTAGTGCCCCGGTCAATCCATCTATAATAACCCAGGTCTTCCTGTTTACCTTTTTAAAATATTGGCACATTAGCATTTTTCCAGTCCTTTGGAACTTCCTTATGTTCCAGGACTAATTGAAAATCAATTTTAATGGTCCCGATAGCTCTTCAGCCAACTCTTTTAAACTCTTGGATGCAAGTTAGCCAAGCCTGCTGATTTTAAAAATGTCTAACTTTATTAGCTGCTGTTTAATTTGCTAATTATCTGTGGATTTTTTTCTCCTTTAATTTTAGAAAAATTAACTTTGATCACTGCCTAGTCCGACAATCAAGAGAAAGTAGGAAAGAGGTTCTGTGTGTGGTCATGGAAAGTATTAGAACAACACGGCAATGCTCATTATCTGTGCATGCTGGTATGCGTGGGGAAACAATGAGGGTAAATATAGACTTCTTTAACTAATAAAATGGATGGTAGGGACTCGTATTCTTATTGTAAGGACCTGTGACCAGATTTTAATTGCATTTACACTGGTGTAAATCCAGAGCAATTCCAATGTAAGTCAATGGAATTGTACTGATGTAAATTAAATTAAACTCTGACCCTCTCTCTGCTTTTCAGATCTAGAGAAAACTATGCCAGTATAGGATATTGGGGTAAAATCTTGGTTCCACTGATGTCAATAGCAAAACTTGTATTGACTTCATTGGGGCCAGGATTTCACCCCATTCTATTAATATAATATTGGAATAGGCCATATACCATAATTATGCTATGTGTGTTGTGCTCTCCATATTGACATTTTTTTATTTTAATAAACTATAATTAAAAACATTACTAGGAGAACTTGGTTGTCAGACTTGTACACTTTTTCATATTTTAAAATTACCAGTCTTATGGGTAACAAGTACTGTTGTTTTGCTCACACAGGGCCTTATTTTTTTTTAAACACATGAAAAACTGTTCATGTATATGAAGCTTTTATGGTATTTTATATAGGGGAGCATCTTACATTGGTTGTTTTACATAAATATAAATGCAGATTCTACAATTAGAAAAATTGGTTGCAAGCCAGATTCTGCATGAGGCAGAAGGGGACAGATCACTTAAAAAGAATGCAGAAAGAAGGAATTAGCTAGTTCTAATTTAATTTCCCCAGTCATGCAATTTACCATTTATTAATAGCTAATGGAAGTTAATACAGTGTTATTTATAGTTATATAGGACTAGGGTGGTTAGATGGCCTTGTTTGCAGTGATTAGGTACAGTCTTGTTCTAGTGAAATCCCAGTCAGTTCTAGTGAAATCTGTCCCAGATTCCTTAGAACTGGCTTTGTAGCCATTCTGTAAGCTACCAGGGCATGGGCAGCCTACCTTGTGGATGGAGGAGGACCTTGCCAGTTGGTTATGGTGGCAATTCAGGTGATAAGTGAAGATCCAGGGATCAGGCACCAGTCTAAGGATGAAGCTAGAGTCAGAATCAAGGGGCCAAACTGAAGCTGAGAACTGGAGTCAGAATCTTAAGACAAAGGGTAAGCTGGAATTGTAGTCAGGGACATAGCAAAGAGTTGGAACTAGAAGTTAGAAACCAGAATGGAACAGGGAGACTGGGGATGAAGCAGGTATAGGCTGGAGCTGGAGCAAGAACGGGCTGGGAAGCAGGGCAGGGCTTGGCGCCTGGACTGGAGGGTGAGAGCAGAATAAGCACGGCTGTGGGTGTGATATGCATTGAGCAGCCACCATGTAGTGGCTGCAAGGTTCAAGTAGCAAACTGTTGGCTCCTCTGCCCAATCAGGAAGTGCAACTGTTTGGAAGGGGCTCATTGGGCCTATCTGAACTTGCTGGGTTGCCTAGCGACCAGGCTGGGAGCCAGCTGTGTCCCTGACACATCCATCATAATAACAGTAATAATAATAATACATGTGTCCTCTCCCTTCCCAGTCTCTGCTGTTGGGTTAATTGAGTCTGAATGTACTGCTTCTAAAAGATGCTAATTCCTCGTTTAAAAATGGACCAGCTACAGTGCTATAGATGAGAAGGTGCAATCTGGAATGAAATTATTAAATTAAAAGGAAAACTCCATAAGAAAACAGCTGGCAGACAGAAAGGTGGAAGATTAGTGCTTAGGATCAGCACAACTAAGTTTGAGAGCTGATTTGGATAGTGTTTGGATAGTGTGATATTTACAGTTACAGACGCTCCCCAGGTTACACAAGACCCGACTTACGCAAATTCGCACTTATGGAAAAAGTTCCATAAGCCAGATATAGGATTTTCAAGTTGTGGAAATTTTTGCGTAACGTATGAGTATACATTTCCGACTTATGCAAAATTCGAGTTACGCAAGGCTTTCCGGAATGCAACGATTGGGTGAGTCGGGGGGTGTCTGTACTTCTTTAAATTTGATTTGAAGACATTTTGATGTCAGTCTTACCTATTCACTTTCAGTTGGCACCAACTGCACTCTTCTTCACTCCCATACAAAGAAAATCATAGCCTAGGTGAAAAATATGATCAAAATTTCCTCCTGATTCCAGAAAGGGAGAACAGGGAAAAGATTCATAGATTCATAGATTCTAAAACTGGAAGGGACCTC